CAGATCACAGCCGCTTCCTCCACGACTACCCCTCAGTGTCAGCACTCAGTGAGTCCACACACTCATCCAGCATCAGCATCCGTCCTCGGAGACACTTTGAGGACGTGACAGCAGCTGTGGAGGAGCTCAGAGATGGACTCCAGGACGTTCTGAGGGACGCATGGACAAACATCTCACTGGCCAGCACTGAAGTAGATGTTTTACTGTCAGAACCAGGACCAGAACCAACGACCAGAGCTGAATTCTTAAAATATTCACGAGAAATCACTGTGGATCCAAACACAGCAAACAGGTATCTGTTATTATCTGATAGGAACAGAAAAGTAGAACGTATGAAACAACAACGGTTTTATCCTGATCATCCAGACAGATTCACTGGCTGGTATCAGGTTCTGAGTAAAGAGAGTCTGACTGGACGTTGTTACTGGGAGGTGGAGTGGAGAAGAGGAGTTGATGTAGCAGTTTCATACAAGACCATCAGCAGAGCAGGGAGTTCAGGTGAATGTGGATTTGGACACAACGACAAATCCTGGTCTTTATATTGTGACACTGACATTTGTGTATTTCAGCACAACAAAACTGAAACTCTCGTCTCAGGTCGTCCTCCCTCCAAAGTAGGAGTCTACCTGGATCACAGAGCAGGTGTTCTGTCCTTCTACAGCGTCTCTGACTCCATGACTCTCCTCCACAGAGTCCAGACCTCGTTCACTCAGCCACTACATGCTGGAGCTGGTCTTTATGGTAACGGATCCACTTTAGAGTTCATTAAAGCTGAATAGACTGAAGTGTTTAAAGAGCAGCTGGTTCAGATGTTTGAGTTTCCAGCTGATTCAGTCTCACTGTACACTGTAAAACACCACGGCTTGTTTTAACTGTCTGTTGTTTTGATCAATCAGCTGTTACTTTACAGATTTATATTTCTGATAATATCTACTGAGAGCACAGAAAGAACGTTTTCATTCACATGTTTACTGTAAAAAAAAAAAAATTAATTATTTTGGTGCTGTTTGGTGTTATTTGAAAGAATTGTTCTGTATATTAAGGATTGATTGTTTAACAGGTTTTAGTAAAATCACAGGAAGAACTAATAATTTACATATAATCCCCCAAAAAGTAAATAATGTGGATTAAGATGATTTCATGTGAAACAATGGTTTTGTTTTGTTGTTTTTTCATCTCATTGTATTTTCATGAATATGTTTGTTGTGAAAATCTTTAAAAGTTTTAAGTGTAAGTTTTGGAACATCTTAATGATTTACTGATATTTTACAGATTTTTCCCGTTTTGTTATATTACATATAATTTTTATATTATATTTTCATTTTTACGGGCATTTGTTTCTTTTGCAAAGAAAAATTCTGTATATTTAGGATTAAAGAACAGTAAATCATTTTGTTTAACTGTAATTTTAGTAAAGTAAGTAAAAATTTCTATGTAATCCATCAAATACAGTAAATAATGTGGAAAATCCTGATTTTATGTCAGAAGATGATTCTGTTTTTATTTTCATCTCATTGTATTTCCATTCATGTGTGTTGGGTCTCTACACTGAAAAATGCACTTAATGTTCTTTAAACTGGAACAATTTATTGTTATTTTATAGATTCAAAGTACTGATAATATATCGTTAGACGACAAAAAACATTTGACTGTTAAATTGCAGTTTTTTTTACAACCTTTAAGTCAGTAGCACATATAATTATTTGCTGTTAATTGAAAGAAATATTTTGTATGTGAACGATTGAAAAACGTCAAATAAGGTTTAAAACTGTTATTTTACAGACTTTGTGTGTTTTGTTTTCTGTTTGTGGACTGAGATGGTTTGTCTCAGATTTGTCTGTGATCAAATAAAACTGAAGAAACAAGTGACATAAATTAAAAATCCCAGCGTTTTTACCTTTGCAGAGCATGCTCAGACCACGATCATCAATAAATGCTGGGAATTTGGTGGCTGTAAGTCCTTTGGGGTCAGAAATAGATGGAGGGTGCATATTCTGGCAGACCCAGTTAAGGGCAGTAAGCATGGGTACACGCCACCTACAGGCGAATGGCTGTCACTGCGCTCCTTGGGGGGTGTTTCTCGGTACAGCACCGGCCACTTCCACTCCTCCACTTGGATGTCGGTGCCCTGAGCATTAACCTGTACAGCCGATGGCGAGAAACGCCTGTAATAAAACATTTAAGGTGACAGAAAAATATTTTGTGACTTTAGTAAACTGATGAGACCCTGACATATATAATTATATTCAGTTCAATTCTGTTTATTTTTATATCTCCAATTTATAACACAGGTAATCTCAAGGCACTTTAGTGAAGGGAAAACATCTTTTTTCTTTGGATTTCCCAATGAAACTGACAGACGGATAGATGCAGGACTATTTTATATTTTAAAAACAAACAAATAAAATACTGTCACTATTGATTAATTAGTCATTTGTTGGATTCACTGATTAAAAAAAAAGTGAAAAACTTTTTATTCCAATGGATAAATTCCATTTTTATATATAAAACCTATGAGGACCATATTTGCTTGACACATGATGGACATTAATTATGAAACTTGTTGCTGAATATCTTTCTTTTTATTGACTAGTCGAGGAATCTTTTGATCTCTTCACTATAATCTGGGCTTCACAGTCAACATGTGCTTACCTGTGTGCTAATATATTCTATTTATATATATTCTATTCTACTGGCTCCAGTCATGTACCAGACCTTCCCAATCTCCGGCGTTCTTGGATCAACCAGAAATGTATTCCAGAGAACTATTCTTAGCTTTTCCTCGAGTGTTTCTTCAGCCGTTTCAGCTGTGGACAGAAATAACGCGACTGAGTCGAAGGTTTGTGGGTTCAAAGCGACATCTGGGTGCATCAGGAGCGTCTCTTTTAGCTCCTCTTGCCGCCCATTTGTCACCGTATTTACACAAATCTTCACGCCGACAACAAACGGGCTCTGCAGGCAGGATTTTCCAGAATTCACTCATCCAGCAAAGCTTCTGACGCTTCCCAAGCCGCCTTCGACTAATTTACCCAGAAAGAGACACAGAATGGGAGCAGGCGGCTGAACGATGATGTCGAGATAACTGCAGGCTTTTATTACAAAGCCTTAAGCTGCATGTTATTTATTTATAGTCAGACTGTAGCAGGACTGCAGCTTATTAGTCATTTTCATTATCGAGTTGTCTGCAAATTATTTTCTCTCTTGACAAATCATTTAAACTATAAAAGGTCAGAAAATGCATATTACGGTTGTCGGATTTTATCTCTAGAAACAACTTTTCTTTTGTTCATGCAGCTGTTAAACCTCCAAATGTCCAATTTATAATCACATAAGACACAAA